TCAACCTTAGCAGCATGTGCTAAAAACATCCTCATCCTCATAACGGCTCAATTCCATTCACAAATCTTCCCAGAAATGATGATGAAGACCACACACTGACTCAGCTTGTTACAATATCTCCATCAATATACTGTCTGTTACATGTAGGAGTCAATTGGTCAATCTGTACACAATTCCTTGGCCAACTGAGCCCCTAAAGAAAACTACCAGTAACAAGATTACTGCAGTTTCTCTTTTCTTTCATTACTGTGGTCACAGCTGTGTTTGAGCCTCCTTTGTCTCCCATCAGGAGGTCCTACTTAGGATATCGGGTGACTTTAGAGGGTTTTTAGATCTCATGTCTCTGGACATGCTTGACTAAATTCATGTCATCATCATCCTTCCCGAAAAACGCTTTCCCTCAGAGGATTAAGCTCAAACAAATATCCCTTTGTCCCAGAGCCGAGGCTGCTCTGCCACACCAACATCGGAGTCCCGTAACGCTGGTTGGAGATAATTCAGAGGCGTTTACTGTAGGTCACAGGTTCACTGTCCAATACCTGTGTCTGCAGCTGTTACACTGACCCTTACATCCAATGGCAGCAGGCTAAAGTGCCATTGTTTGTCCCGTCTATTACCCCCAAACTTAAACCCCCCAACAACTTCAGCTCCGCCACCTCTAACAGTATCTCTCACTTCTCTTAGGGAAATAAGTTGATAGAACCACTTATTAAAGGTGAAACTTTAACTATCATCTCATGATTTTGAAGGTAAGTTTGTCTTTTTAATAAACAAAGGCAGAATTAAAAATAACTAACCCAAGTTTGATTTAATTTATACTTCTATATTTGATCACACAAGTGAAATATTGACTGACAGATGTTCGTGAGGCTGTAGACGTGTGTGAAAAGCTTTTTCCCTTGAACCTCCGACCTGTTTTTTTAAATTCTATGTTGGAGTAAGAAATATAGTTGTGAATTTTATTATACTTAAGAATGTATATAATAGAACATGCAATGATCATGTTTTACAGAAGCTGTAAAGACAAAGATTATGGAGAGAATTATGAAACTAGGTCTTCTGATCCTGTTGGGTCTACAGCCTGTGATTGGAGCTGGGTGAGTTATACGAAACATTTAGTAAAGTTACAACAAATGCTCCATTTTTCACCTTATTTTACCTCAGTTCAAAGTTAATATTAAAAAAGATAGCTAGATTTAAAATAGTTATTCACGATGTCCTGAAAAGGGATAGTATTTTTAATGAGAGAGAGATGAAGGCTTTTAAATTCAGAACCTAAAGTCGGAGCTAAACAAAATACATTTTTATTTATGTAATAAATCTGATGAAAAATCTGTCTTCAGAAACCACAGAGGGATCGTAAATTTTTACTTTTAAGAATAAAGTATTCTATTATAAGTAAATAAACACTCTGTATCATTGAAAAGATTATGTTTTTTATTTATTATTTTATATTTTCTGCTTTGTGTTGTCAGATGCATCTATATGCATGGTTGATTGGTGCTTAGTGGTTTATGCTTTAGTTTTTACGACAGTAGTTCCCAAATATTTTAGGGTGTGACTCAAAAATATAACAATGAAAAAGACCGGCCTCCCCCTAACAATACATATTCACTTAATAACTTCACTCTATATTTACTTTACATGTAAGGGGAAGTATTTATATCCAGTTTTAAAATAAGATGCAAATCTTTTTGGATGCTTAAGTAGCCTATTTAGTTAATCATTTATTTAATTCAGTATTTTTAATGTTTGTTTTTATTCATTCATTCAGACATCTAATTATTTAAGTTTTATAATTGATAATTATCTAATTATTTAATATTTTATAATTTAATAATATTGCTAACGGCTAACAAAAAGGTCATTGTTACGACCCTTTTATTGGTAATTTTTTTTTATTTCATGGGACATTGACATTTATTTATTTCCCAATATATTTTGGTTGTCCGTGTACCTCACCGATCACATCACAATGATTGTGAAAACATGGTGTCACTTGGTGTCTCATGACCTCCCAGGAAGTCCTGAGCCCCACTTTGGGAACCCCTGTTTTAAGAGAAGTGGTGTACTATAACTTTTTTTTTGGTTTTCTTCTTCAAACTACATCTTTTTTTTCTATATCAGCATGTGAGATGTGGTATAGAAACTATAAATGACATAATAAATAAATAAAAAACATATTCCACTGTAAACATTTTCCAAGAGAAAATACTATTGTCAATAAACTTTGCAACTTTTGTTTCAAAGATTTATATGGGATTATAACTGTGTAAATTCTTAACCATCCAGGTCATTGCAACCATAAAACAGACTTACACTGAAAGCCCACTGGACTTTTGCTTAGTTTTTTTATGCTATCATGGTCTTGGTTCTGTTTAATTTGCTTTTGAGTATTTAGTTTCACTTTGATCCATGTTTTTCTTTGTTTTCTAGTTTTATTGTTTTAAATCTTATTTAGTGGTGTTTTCTGGATATATTTGAGTTCTAAGGTTTATCTTGGTTGCCCTCTGTTGCCCTATTCTGTTGGTCTCCTTTTCCCTAGCTCCTTCTAGAAGCCTCTGTTCACACCTGCTCCCAATCAGCTCATTAGTCCTGTCTTTGTTCAGTCTCCCATATATACTCTCCCTGTGCAGTTCCTCATCTTTTCTTGGCTCCCCACGTGAGTTTAATCCCATGAAGTTGTCTGTTTTTTGGTTCCATGTATTTTGTTCTTTGGTTTTTAGATTTTTGCCTCAGTTATTCAATTAAATCCTCAAGGATTCACCTGTGCCTCCTTGCCTCTGCATTTGGGTCCTCAAAACCTCAACCAAACCTTGACAGAAGCTTTTTCAACACCTATCCAGGATTCTTTTGGGTTCAACCAGAGCAAATTCTAGTTGCACAGTTGCTCTATTTGAGCAGCACGGAGGTCCATCCTCCAGCACACATTAATAAGTCAGATGCAAATCCAATAGCCACGCCATGTTCTTCTGAATTGCTGGAGTCTTTTGTTGTGTAGGGACTATGTAATTTGCCCTTTTGAATTATGATGGGAGGTCTTATGTAATTTCTTTAGAACGAGTTCCAAGAATGAATTGTAAATGCTTGGAAGTTGAACCCGTAATCCTCCCCCTCTGTTCACTGATGGGCTATTGGGATTCTATTTTCACAAAGCTAGAGTCCTTCACCTCCCTTTCAAAACATCTGTCCTCTTTGACCAAAGTCTGAACATTTTGGTCTTCAATAGTTAGTCATTTGTTCTTCAGGTATACAGCTGAATCTTATCCAGAGTTATTGGCTCTCCTATGCTATGGCATGTGTCTGTTGTTTGGTTCTCCAATACAGGAGACTATATACTTCTTACTGCACAGGATTGCATAAACAACTAAGCACAGCTTAGGTTGGGGTGTTCTGTCTTTAGGATGAACATCTTTTTGTTGGAGTGTCTTGTTGGGTTTAAAATTCACCAGTATGTTGTGTTTGGAGAAAATTCTGGGTTTCTCAGAAATTCCTGACACATATGGAATTACTATGTTTTTGCATCTCTATCTTTTCTCCTCTGTTTTTCTTCCTGCTATTTGTTTTGGCCAGCTTAACGCCCAGTATGAATAACCAGATGATTCAAGTGATTTCCTAACATGTTTTTGTTCCTTTAGTTTCTTCTCTGCAACTGAAGGAATATTGTTAGCTGGTAACTCAGAATTCTGATCACAATAAGTTTATGGTCCAGTGGTTAATAAAAGCCAAAATGCTAGTATTGGTCTATATGTGTTGGTTTCCAGTAAACCTCAGTATTAAGACTACCATTGTCCTTAATTTTGCCACAGCACAGTCCACAAAGGGCAACATGTTGTTCTTGACATCCTTTCTAGTGAACTTGATATTTCTGTCCCTAGAGTTGTTGTAATTGGTGAATGCCTCAACTTCCTAAGTGGTATAAAGCAGGGGTCGGCAACTCAAACTTTTCAAAGAGCCATATTGGACCAAAAAAAAACAAAAAACAGATCTGTCCGGAAAAAAGCATTAAAAAACATTCCTGTTTTGATGGTCGTCCCATTGTTGCCCCTCTAATGCACCGGTTGCTAATTTTTAGTGTTGCGCCAATGCCATTTTTTGGCCCCGATACCCGATACCTGACTGTGCAGTATCGGCCGATACCGATACCATAATAATGTAAATTTATTGCCATCATGGCTTTATCATGCTGCTGCCTACCTTTGTGAAGCAGGAAAAAATCTAAGTGAATCCAGTAGAACTTTTTATTGCCTACCTGGAATGGGTGACAATAGTTGAATAAACTTATGGCTCTCAAAATGGTATTGGTGCCCTATTTGTTGGTACTCGCCGATACCGATACTACCATTTTAGGGCAGTATCAGGGCCCCATCCGATACTGGTATCGGTATCGGTGCAACACTACTAATTTTATTAACACCAAAGCAGCTGAAATTGATTAACAACCCCCTCTGCTACTTACCTGACCAAATCTAATATCCCAAAAGTTTAATAAACTTGATGCTATGCTCTAATTACAAAGTGTTACCTTCATTTTTTTGAGTAGTGTATATAATAAGCATTCATGATTTAATGTTCATCCTGGAGCAAATGTCGCATATTCCACGTGGAATTCACCGAGCATCGCTTCACTGCCCTTCACCTGGCGGTTTAGGTTTTGTTGCATTGATGAAATTACAGAAACAAGATAAAGGAATCTTTCTATGATGGACGTGTTTCTCTTGGGAGGAGTTGATCGAGTCACGAGGAACCAAGCAGGAACTGACATCCATAAGAGCAGAGCTCTCTAAACCTGAAATCCCACATCCTCCGACAGCAGCTTTCCTTGGTGTTATTTTTATTTTGGGGATTTGGGTAAAAATTGGTAGAAAGTTCATATTCCTGCCACAGCTACCTGTTGGATCTGTGAACAGTTTTCCATGATTGGAACCAAACTAGCAGCATTAGTGAAGTTTGTAGATGCAATCAACTTCTGAAATCTATCTTTGCTCTCCTATAACCTACTCAGAAGTTTTGCAATCATACTTTTTCTTCGCATTTGGTGGTTGGTTGCAAATTTAGCATGCCTTCCCTGAAAATGCCTTTCCAAATTCTTTTTATTTTTTGACAACACCTCATTACAAAGCAAAAATGCAGGCAATCCTTCCACATTGATAATGACGGCAAATTATTCGGTCCATTCTTCTTTGAAATCTCTGTTCTCATCAGGCATATTCCTTTTTCTCCCCTTGGGATTCATGGTCCGAGACACACCTGCCGCTTTGTTTGCTCGACACCATGCCACGCCGAAACATGTGTTGCAGGCTATGATGCAAATTTTCATTGAAAGACCCCACCTCCCAAGAGCAAAATAAACACACTTGCATGTATGTTAAACTCCAGTAAAGCACATTCAAATGTAAATTATTCCTAATTAAAAACACTTATCATTTATTGAACAGTGTGTAAGAATTTTCTATTTAAAGAAGGCTTCTTTCAGAAATTTGAATTCTGAATATGACCGGACTTCTCCTTTGAAAGTGTTTCTCACTGTTTCAAATCTTTACGTTAACAGCGGCGGAACCAGCCTCCTAACAACTGTTTATGCCCTTAAACTGCTCACACGCTCGTTCTACTTTAATAACAGTCTACACGCAACCTTTTCCCCCTCATTCATAGAACGGTAAATTCAGGAACATTTCCCGGAACAGCTTTAGCTAGGGGACGGGGACGTCTGGTCACTGTATCCTAGGCCGTTTCTCAATTCTCAAGAACACAGGAGTGTATGGACTCGGGAAGAACGGACACACAGCATAAACATGGGTCGATTGGAATAGAAGCGTACTCATGACATCACCACCCACTCGGCTCCTCTGTAGCTGCATCTCACCTTGTGTTATTAATAGTCACTAGATAAATAATAAAAAGTGATGAAGTGATGATGTAGATGTTATATACGTGTATTGATTACATTGTTATGGTAATTACATATTATATATAATTTCAAGATTTTACATCAAGACTGAATTAAATGTCTTTTAATTCTATAGTAATTTTCTATTTGCAAATTATGCATGCATGATGCCATATAATTTTATGCTCTGTCTGTGCATTAGCCTTTAAATCTGACATAGATTTACAATAGAGCCAAATGAATGAACCAATTTAATAAAGCCAAATATTTTCAGTTTCTACACTAGCAAAATCACATAAATTGGCAAAAAAAACAGGAAAAAAAAACATCATTCTACTTAGTTTTACTATATTTGAAAACATGCCTCTTGTTTTCCAGAATAAACTAGCTGCTTGGTTTAATGATAAACATTATAATTAAACAACCTGCCATTCTTTATTTACCATAAATCTCCCATTGCAGACATTGGTGTGAACAGACGGTGGAGGAGAAAGTAGAGTGGGTATTGTCGCCACGTCTGCAGCTTGAAGTCAGCTGTTCTGAAGTGTATCAGTACAACACCCAGGGATGGAGACTGGATGTGGACAGGCTGCGAACCAAGCATGGTGGAGATGATGGCATCGCACAATATTACAAACAACAAGGACAAAAGGCATCTTGTTTCTTATACAAGTAAGTGGATGGTTTCTTTAAAAACTCCATTGTTTATGAAAATATAATTTTAAAACGGTTGCATATGTTAATTTCTTTATCTTTTAAGTTTCATTTTGTCACATGATTGCGTACATCTCGTATAAAGAAAACTAAAGCTTTATTTAGAGTAATGGCTGGTGATCAGCTCCATGACTGTTATGGTTCTCCCCATTTGGTAGTTTTTAGTTTTCAGTTGTTCTGTTTTGTTGATCTTTGGTTTATTCTCCATTGTATTTAAGCAGTCTTTAGTTACTCTCTGTTGCCCCCTTGTGATTGTTTCCTTTCCCCTTGGCTTCCTTCTTCAAGTTAGTTCCACTTTCACCTGCTCCATATTCAGCTCATTAGCACATCCTTTGTTCAGTTCCCCTTATATACTCCACTGTCTGCCTCTGTTCGTCATTAAATCTTCAAGGTTCAACTCTGCCTCCTGGTCTCTGAATTTGGGTCCTCAAATCCTCCTCTCCATTGTGACAATGACAGTAAATTGCTTCTTTCCTAAACAGATGGGTGGCTTTTTAGATTTTTATAAAAATCAAACACATATGCAACCCATAAAAAGTTAACTGACCAAAGCAAAATGCATAATCTCAATCTAACAGTAACTGACCCCTTCCATTTGCCCTGGTAAGTGCGGTCGGCATCCTGTACCTTAACCCTTTAACTGCCTTTTCAACTTCCAACCTGCATTTCGCTGAGCAAATGGTCAACCATTTGGTTGACCAGGCAGGTAAAGAGTTTGAGAAACAGCTACAAGGCGTTATTTATCAGCATCTTTTTCTGAATCACATAGATTGTATCTGCAGTAATAGCAGATACCCTCCTGGGTATCCTTGACATAAGGGAGATGACATCAGTCCCACATCATTTATTTGTGTGATAAAACAATGGTGATACAGGAGATTTATATTTGAGAAATGTTGAGCTTCCACGCGTAGACATGCGTATGCAACCTGTTACAATTCAAGCAGATTGCTTAATGACGTAGTCTACATCCACTTTCAGCTCGGAGAAAACATTGTTTTAGCTCCGTCTGCTTCTCCTTTGATAAATGATGATTGATTTTTGCCACTTCCAGCCAAATCTGTTGACTTATCATCCTTGATACCTTGTCTTTCACCAACAGCCTTAAAAACATTACAATATTTTCAATTTTATAATCAATCTTATTTCTTGAAGACAAGTGAACTGAGAGCATGATTACCAAACCCCGCCATTGCCACTATGTGCTATATGTTTGGCTTGGACAGCCATTTGTCTTTGTCATTTTCAGTGAACCCTACCAGGAATGATGGACCCAGCACAATTACTCCAAAATTAAATAAACTATTCACCGCAAACGAACATCAGACGCCTAAAGCTCTGAAGGCCTCACTTATCTCAAATAACTTCAGCCTTGATGGTGTGGTTGGAAAATTTAGATTTCTCTTATTTCATATATTGATTTATGCTGTTTACTCACTGATAAAAAATTTTAACTCACTATGTTTCACTTGCAATCCACACAATGCCTGAGTGAGAGGTGTTTGTAGACAAAACATACTTATTTCCATTGCAAGCCAGATTCTTTTTCAAGGTTTATTCATAACATGTTACTGTTTAACCAAACTGTCTGTAATTTGTTTCGACTCTGACTACTTTCCAATATTGTAAGTAAGGGGATCAGAACAGGGCTGATAACCATGCCATAAGGGCTATATGATGAATTGTTCTCTCTTTCCAAAGATATAACAAAATGCCAACTGACTGAAATCGATCAATCTCTATTTATTTAACTGAAGTAAATAGTTGAACAGACATTCTGAAGTTAAACAGTCAGGCCCTAATCTAATCAACATTTGCAAGTAAAAAAAGGTGCAAAGTTGATCTACTAACCTTTCACAGCTTTAATTGTTATTCTCATTTCATAAAAAAACAGAAAAGCTCATATTTTCTCTCCTCTGCATCTTCTCTATCTTAGAGTCATTTTATCTGTGTTCAATGTTATTGCAAACTGTTGGAAAATAAGTTGCAAAAAAAGTCCACTCTGCTGTCTCAAAGTATCCATGATTGAAGGAACTAGCAAATACAAAATCCTCCACCTGTTAGTAGCAACATTCCCTCTAACTGCATATGAAAATTGTGTTCAAACATTTTTGTTAGCTCTGCATATTTCTAGTCTGTGTACATTAGGACCCATATCGAGAGAAAAATATGGTGGTAGGTTATATGTTTTTTTTTGTTTGTTTTTTGTTTTGCTGCTGGATAACTACCTGTTATTGGTTAGTTCTGAGTTTTGCTGTTGGTGAAAAATCCAAGGGAGACCTCTATCAGTTTATGACTGTAGACTTTGGCACCACAGAGTTATTCATTATGGCAGTGATCTGATGTGCAACTTTAACCCCTTAAGCCCTGAGGGTCTTAGGAGCAAATTACACCTGAAAATACACATTAAAACAAGTACACCTCCCAAACATATTCAAGAAAGTACAGCTCCCAAACTATTAATTGGAAACAAAACTGTTTGAGTTTGTATGACAGAAGGGCATTGAGTAATTATTTTGTGGTGGAATCCATGTCTGATTTATATGTCATTAAACAAAGAAAAAATGAAACCTAATTAGCTTTGCCAAATTGTTTTCCACATCTTGACTATAACTCAAGTGAAATTTGACTGAAGCATGTTTGTTCCTCAAAGGTTTTAGTAGGCAGTGCCAAAAGTACAAAAATGCATTTTTCCACTCATAAAAGGGAATCTGGTCAGACAAATATGCTAATTTACATTATCGGAGACCTTCTGCATAAGGCAATGCCTTTGCACCTAAGACTTAGCTGTTGTTTCATTGAAATTTACCAATAATATCACCAAACTTAATAAAAAAATAAGAATAACAGAGTAAGCATATGTAGCGCTTTCCAGTTACACCACCACAAAATGGTCGCACAATTACCTCTGACCCCTCCTTGGAAAGGTTTGAGCCTCTAGTTTCCAATTAGGGAGTGTAGCTAAAAATGAATACCTGCTTTTGCATTACCATAGCACAGTCAGACAGGTGGAATTTTTGATCCCATTTTATTTGATTAACCAGCTGTAAAACAAAAAGTATTTGTCAAAAAAAGAAATTTTGAGACATGTTTAAGAAATTTTAAAGTTGCATTGCAAAGGCATGTGGATAAAACACCATGTGACTGTGTCTTAGCCATTTCTATAAATAGATAAACATCAGCTGGTGTCAGCTGGGCCAGCGGGGCTCAAGGGGTTAACTGAATTACTTAAAAGGGCAAATGAAAAAGAAATCAGCCAAACAAACAATGGATTCATTCAATCTGGACTTCAATAAAACAGAGACGCTCTGGTGTTAAACATGCTCTAAAAGCCAACATGTTACTCAAATGTAGGTTGCTGAAGCAATACCTAGCACCAATAGAGAACTACAGTAAGTGAGATAGCTATAATAATTGGAAATCTTCTTTGTTTAACATGGTAGTTAGTTTGATCATCTGAGGTATTAAAAGTGACAGAAATGCAAAATCAGAAAAATGAAATTAGAGTCGACACCGGTGAACATTTGTAATGAGGGGTACCTGGGTTCCTCTCCAATAAGACAAAACTACCAACACATTTAGAGACTGACTGTTTCTTTCTTAGTTACAATTAATTATTTCTTGCTGTAGACATGAACCCAAAGACAACTTGGATAGTTTCAAAGTTTAGTTCTCACATTTCTCTGTCCTTTTTAGACCCCCAGAGATGGAGAGCCGAGCAGTTAATAAGACCGTAAGGACCTGCTGTGAGGGGTGGGGAGGACCTCACTGCTCTCAGGGTAAGAGCATGAAACCAGGGGTTGATTGTGCATCTATAAAGATGTCGGTCAAAAATAGTCAAAATGTAGTAGAATTGGATCAACTGCAATTAGACTTAAACTGTAGCGATAAAGAATCATTTACATCTTGGTCCACAAAATATTTGTTAAGTTTTGCATTAAAATGTAAACAAAAGGCACATTTTCATCCTTCTGTGTGATTTAATGTCATGTTCAATTCAACCAAATTAAAAAATACTTCATTAATCCCATTGGAAAATTATTACATTTACCCATAAGCAGGATTTTTGAATCTAACTCTGTATGAGGTGGTATATCCCAAGTAAAGTTACAACAGCTGAGCAAAGACATTTCTTGGTGCAGCAAGTTTATTGTTTTCTGTTCCTTCTAGGTGTTGGGGTGCGTGGGCAGTGCTACTCCACCTGGAACTGTGAAGAATTTCCTGGCATTCATAACGCCTCACTCATGCCCATGGAACAATGCTGCAGCACCCTTTGGGGACTAAGCTGGAGGAACGCTTCGGACCAAACGTGTTTGACTTGCACCTATACTCTGCTGCCAGGTCTAAAAACACCTTAATGTGTGATAGAATGTATTATTAGATGCTTCCTCTGACTGGAAACCCATTCCACGTGAAGGATGTCTCACAAGCACTGGCTCTCTGTCTCCCCTCCAGACTCCCAGTCCTCTCCTCTGGTCCGGAGCGGCCTGTTAGGTACTGCCAGGGTCCCTCAAGGCTCCGCCACATGCATGTCCTGGGGTGGAGCCCATTATCGCACTTTTGACAGGAAGCACTTTCACTTCCAGGGAAGCTGTACGTACCTTCTTGCTTCCTCTACTGATGGCACCTGGGCCGTCTACATCAGTACAGTCTGTGACCAAAGAGGAGACTGTAGCAAGGTAATGTTTCCAGCCCTAACTCTTAGCACCGATGCTCGCACTGATCTGCTTCCTGCCAACTTCTGTAAATCCTAACAAAACATCTGTATGTGATTGCTAATTTTTTTCCAGGCCCTGAGGATGATGCTGGGTCTGGATTTGGTTTCTGTTCATCAAAAAAACATAACACTGAACAGCATCCCTGTTCCAAAACAGGAGCCGCTTTTTCAAAACGGTGAGACATTCTAAGCAGAGAAAGACATAGTTCTTATAACTTTTGTTTATGAATAAAGTAAATGTTTTTGGAGTATTTGAGTAATGGTTGCATTGTTCTGAATGTTAGAACTGGTTGAGCCATGAGCGATAAAATGCATATCTGGCATAAAACAAACACTCTGACCTCATCATTCTCTACCATTAAGCTTGGCATAACCTTTGATGCTGGTTTTACTTCAATGCATATGTTAAGTCTCTTTTCTTTGTTCTCACAATCCTAATCAAGGTCCGATATGTCCTAAAATGTAAATAATGAATCATGGTTTCGACCTCCATATCTGTGTGCTTATAAAAGCTCCCTAGAACACCTGTAGAGGTAGATCATCAAGGAGAGAACCAATGCATGCTCAGGGAGAAGATGCAAACTCCATGCAGTAAAGCTCTGAGACGGGAATTGAACCCGTGACCTTCTTGCTGCCAGGCAGCGGTGCTACCCACTGTGCCACTGGAGAGTCTCAACATCTTTGTGGAGGACCTCTGACTGGGTTTTCTTTCAAAAATCAGTTTTGATTTTGACCCAGTAGAGTTTTTTTTTTTCATTTATAAAGGGCCTGTTTAATGTCACAGTTTTGCATCTGAATCACTTCTTAATGATTCTAATGCTGTGAATACCAGCTCTAAAAATTGCTCATTTGCTTACGCAGGACTTTTCTTTTATACTCGCTCCTTTACTTTCACACATGTACCAGTCCTCTTAGTTAAATAAGGAATATTATTGCTTCTGACACCTCTGGAATTGAGTATTATGTTAAGACTGAGTGAAACCCTGTGATTGAGCTAAAATGTGTTTTTAAAAGAAAAAATTACAGATTTCATTTGAATGAAATGCAAAGAAATCCTAGATAGGATAAGCAGATACAAAAAAGTTTCTGTAGGATTTTATTTATTTTCTATAAATTGTGATGGAATAGAGTGAGAACAGATAACAGAGGCTGTTGATAAGCATTTATTTATTTTTTATTCATCCTTTTGATCACATTTCCCAAAATTTTCATTGCATTAATATAAGGTACATGCTCTGTATTAAAAAATTTATTTCTAATCTAATTTTGATGGGAATGGAACCATTCAGTCGTCATGATTTAACTAAATGCAGAAGACCAAACAGAGAGACGAGGGAAAAGTTCAACAGGTTTTATTTAGAGCAAATAGAGAGGAGTACAGTGCTGCTCTTAACAGTGTCGAACCGAGACTGAAAAGAGAAGGGGAAGATGCTGCGGTTAGTTCAGGCTCAGTGGGAAATTTGTGTCTTCTTCATTGAAGAAGGGAATTAAGGTAGCAGACTCACATTTCCAGAAAAGGGTGTATCTTATTGAGTCGGTGTGGGTTGTTCCAGTGAATGACTTGTTCGTTGGAGGGCGGACAGGGTTTACCCAGAATGCCGTTGTTCCTTGGTTAACGGAGAAGCTGACTGCCACTTAGTTTTCATGCAGTACTTGAACGGGTTATTGTGGAGATGAATCCTCTGCTCAGTGAGAAGCCCAAAAAAATCCTTTGGTGTAAAAGTTGATCCAAACCACAAACTTGAAACCTCAGCTCAGTTTGGTGCTCAGAGAATCCTTCCAGGGGCGAGAAGGTCCAAAACATCGAGTTTGCAGGATGGCTTCCTGCCGAGAGGCAAAGACAAAAACAACAAGGTTAAAAACTCAGGTGACAAAAACTCAGTTTGACTCAGCAAAACTTGGCTAGAGTACACCAAACTGGCAACACCCTGGTGTTGAGGTAGTGGCAGTCAGCAGCTTAAGAATCCTCAGGTAATAAGGTAACGAGCTGCAGGTGTGCAGGGAGGCCCAATGAGAACGGGGAACCACCTGGTGGAGGAGAAAAGGAAACACAAAAACAGACCACACAAACTGGATTTCTGACATCAGTGGAATGACCCTCAAAACAAATCCCCTTTTTTCTAACATGGGGTCTAGTTTTCTCTGTTTATAAAAAAAATAAGAATAATTATCTATAGAATAAGAAGTTCTGACAGGTTTGTCTTATATATACGTTTTTTTTCTTATTGCCCCAAGGAGTGAGTGTCCATTGGCTCGGGGACTTTGTGTTTGTGGAGAGTGGAGTGGGAGTTAGGGTGAAGTTCGACATGGTCAACACAGTGTATGTGACGGTAACCTCTGAGCACCTGGGAACCACCAGGGGACTCTGTGGCGTCTTTAACAACAACGCAGATGGTAGGTGTCACAACATTCTGCTTCTCTGGTATTAGTGAGTCAGACATGATCTCTAACCTTCCTTTGTTATAAACATAGATGATTTCACCACAATGGCCGGAATCGTGTCTCCATACGCTGCAAGTTTTGGCAACTCGTGGAAAGTTCCGGACCAACATAATGAGGCACTGTGACTTGCTAAATCCTTTTGGATGTCTTTGTATTTAAAAGAACATTAATTCTTTTTCCTCCACCAATTTGTATTATTCTACAAACAAAATCCTTTTGTTTAGATCCACATTTTAAGAAAATCTCTTATAGTAGAGGGATCTTAGCTGTCAACACTGCTCTATTGATGTTTCTCTGATTCATTTAGTTTTATATTAAGTTACTAATTGAGTTCCTTGCTCCGTCCATCAGGACTGCAGCGATGCAGCCGAGCTCGGCCACAGCTGTGAAGTTACTGGAGAGCCCACTCTACGCAGAGAGGCAGAATTGGTGTGTCATCAGCTGCTGGAGAACCCCTTTGCGCAGTGCCACCGCCAGGTCAGAATATCTTTAGACATTAAGGGAAGTTGCATACAATAAAAGAGGTGCTGGTTAGAACATCATCTCCAATGTTCAAGTTATATAAAGCTTGGTGATATCATGATGAACAAATGAAATGGAGGTTGCCTGAGCTCCTCTCAACCATGCCCCTCACTTTTCACTTTGGGTTTTCAGTTAGGCTTGGATTTGTTATTCTGTTTTTACTTTTACGAGTTATGTAATTTTTTACTTCCTAGCTTGCACTTTTCTTGAGTTATCTCTAGTTTACCCTTGGTCAATCTTTATTTTCTACTTATTGGTCTTACTTCCATTTTGCTTCATTTAAGTTATTTTCTAGTTTCCGTTAAGCACTGTTTACTCCTTGTTGCCCCTCTTGTTTCCCCTTAGCGTCTTCCGTCCGCACCCTCTCCCACTTAGCTAATCAACATTGATTGGGTGTGTTCGATTTCATAGGCTGCATCCTCTAAGGACCCGGTCTACCTGGACTGGAGTTTTGGCTATGGATTCAAACAGGTCCAGCCTTCTTTGGCTTTCATCGCCCGTACGCTCTGTCGCCTAGAAACCATGACAGTCGACACACAAAACAGTCAAAGAATGAATAGCTTATCAAACTTCTCACTGATGTTCTGGTGCTGATAAAATTATTGAGGAGTCAGAGTGGGGTGGAGTCAGAGTACAAAAATATGCACGCCAAGGAGAAGGCCAGTGGCTGGAAGTTGGAGGGGATTTTTGCTGGGAGATGTAGGGAAGTGGGCTGCCGTTTGACTGGGAAGGGAAATTTTGAATGGCAGCTACTGTATACTAACCCAAATTGCAGAAAGATAAAACAGAAATATAGGGGTATTAAGCAATGAAAAGGAATGCTTACATGCAGCAATGACTGGTTTTGCGCAACACCGACTAGAATTCTGTACGTGTGACTTTCTTCTCCCGCAGCTCCACAGCGTTAGGTGTAAGCCCAGTGTTATAGTAACTACAGCCAGAAAAAAAGATTTTAAATTAAGACATTGCTTTGCTCCTTAACAAGCCAGAGGAATCGATAACATTGGGCTTAAATGTGCTTTATTACAATACTGGTCATTTCAAGATAAATAATCAAAGGTTGTGTCCGTCTCCAATGTAGGTTGACCCAGTACCATACATAGACACCTGTCATTATCTGTACTGTAGCCTCTCACCCAAAGAGAGGCAGGATGCAGTGTGTGACACCCTGGCCAGCTACACCAGGGAGTGTGCTCAGCAACACATCATCATAATGTGGAGGACAGCAGCATTATGTGGTAAAGAAATACAACAGTTTATAAATATTATCGTTATTGCATCCCATACCCTATGTTTGGTTCTTTGTTTCCTCAAAACCTTATCTGTCTTACCAGGTCGCGTCTGCCCCAGAGGACAGGTCTTCTCTGACTGTGTGTCCTCCTGTCCTCCAAGCTGTACTTCCCCCCAGCTTCCAGGACCTGCTGCGGCCATGGGTCAGTGCAGAGAGGAGTGTGTGGGGGGCTGTGAGTGTCCTCCTGGTCTCTACCTTCACCAGGGACACTGCTTGAAAAGAGAAGACTGTCCCTGTTTCCATCGCAGACGTAGCTACCAACCCGGGGACACGATCCAGATAAAATGCAACACCTGGTGAGCTTAAATCTCCAAAACCATCCTTAACAGTCTTTGTCAGATATTTGATCTTTCTAATTCCCCTTCATGGTGTTCATCATTTGTCCCTATTGACCCAGTGTGTGCAGGGCAGGTCGGTGGGAATGTACAGGTGAGAGATGCGCAGGCCAATGCACTCTGATGGGAGCACTGCAGGTGACCACATTCGACAAAAAACGCTATGCACTGTCTGGTGGAAACTGTCCTTTCGTTGTTGTAGAGGTAAGACTAAAGCCCCATCTACACTACCCTCTGAAAACCGATTTGTGCCGAGTTTGGACCGAGCTTCGATCAGTTAACCGTGCCGAGTTTGTTTTCTTACGACCATTTACACACCACGCTAGCATGGTTCCTCACCTCCTAATGACAATCTATGGTACTACTGCTCTCTATAGGTAAACAAGCAAATCAAAATGACGGCACCTAGAACATTCAGGAAGGTTGCGGAGAAGGCAGCCTTTGTTGAATTTGCTAGTATTTTGTATAAATGTCTGAAATTTTATGATTATGGAGGCTTACTGTAAGTAGAAGAGGCGGTTTGCTCACACGCTCTTTGTTATCTAAGAATCCAGGCAGAACTGAACCGAGACCTACTGATGAACTAATACCAGTTTAGCGTGGTTCGGTTGTGTCTGGCACGGTCCGGTTCGGTTGTGCGTGCCATTTACACTCAACAGTGATTTCGGTTACCATGCTCGGACCGATCTCGGCACTGTTTCAGAGGGGTAGGAGTAAATGGGGCTACAACATTGCCCACGGTGAAACACACTCCAGAGTTGTGGGTGTGTGTTGATTATTCCATATTTGCTTCTAGGACTTTGTTGACAGAAAGCTGGAGGTGGTAGTGCGGTGTGGAGAGTGCACAGCAGGGGACAGGGGAGGGGGAGGAGAAATAAGCTGTCTAAAGGAGATGTCCGTGACAGCCCTGCACACAACAGTCACCATCACAGACACTGGTGAGTAGCTTTAACTGCCGGCAGTCTATGAGTGAAAGGTGAGATACACCCTGGACAGATTGCCAGTCTGTCGCAGAGATACACAAAGGCACACAACCATGCAAACACTTACTCATACCTAAGGTGGTTTAGAGAAGCCAATTAACCTAACAGTCATGTTTTTGGACTGTGGGAGGAAGCTGGGGTACCTGGAGAGAACCCACACATGCTCAAGGAGAACATGCAAACTCCATGCAGAAAGTACCCGCTCCAGGAATCGAACCCGGAACCTTTTTGCTGCAAGGCAACAGTGCTACCTACTATATAACCATGCAGCCCTACTGGAATTTATGTTAATCTTTTCATCAGGGCACATTTCAAAATAATAGCACAAAAAAACAGGGATATATTATATGGTTTACTATAGCAACTAAGATAAAGTTGAATAAAGCTGAATCTTGAAGACTCCTTAAATTCTAAATAACTAAATTAAACTATAAAGTTCAAAATGTAATTACTCCAACGAACCAATCAGTTATGGTCTCATTTATTAACACATATCTGCACAGGAATTTGATTTAGTTTTATGTCTCCAGAATGGGACCGTGACAGGGGCCAGGACCAGTTCCACAGCGGCACCAGCACCTATTGAACCTTATCTGAAACCCCTAACCAGTGCAATATAACAGAGGGCCATCTTCGTCATAAATAATATTGGACTTGCTTTGTTATTTGCTTCAGTGACATTGGCCACATCCCTGCCTGACCTAAAAAAATAAAATATCAAATAAAACAAAAAACTACAAAAAACACTTCAATAGAACCTGTCAGATAAATTTTTTTTAGAAAATAGATCTTAAAAATCAACATGCAGTTTCTTGACTTAATCAAGCAAAGCAACATTTATTCTTCTCAAATTTCTTAAACAGCCATTTGTCCTGAAGCCATTATCCACTGATGGAGAGAGCACAGATATAAAGTGAGGTTGAGTCTAAGGAAAGCCAAACGTTTAAGTGTAAATCAGCTCTTGCTGTATTACTATTAATGCATGTCAATGGTACAAACAACCAGAAACACTGAGGATAGCATTTGTGTTTCTGATACTCAATATACATTGCATTAGTATGAGTAATTTATGGATGTTTAAAACAGATCTGTGAATTATTGAAACAATAGCTCCAAAAGCTTTAATTTCTCTCTACCAGAAGAAAGACTCAGAAAGCATTCAATAAATCCTAAATATTAGTAATGCAAATATTCTTAAATTTTTCAGCCAGGGTTCAAATATTATCCCATATATCAAACAGTCACATTTGCTCACCAACAGGTATAGATAAACATAAAAAATGGCTGATAAATAATCTACTAGCCCATGTAAAGATATAACTGTAACTCAATAAAGGACATCTTTACACGAAGTCTTAGCCATTCAAATGTCCTTCTTTCCTTGATGGGTTCTTGGCTGGTCACATACAATTCCCTTTTAAACATCAATATTTGTACTAAAATATCTTTGTGTCATGATTTGTGGACATTGAGATCTAAAGATAAGTGTCATCTCCTGGTTTCCTGGAGTTTAGATTAAGCCAAAACAACAATATCACAACAAATATTAACAGACTGAACACTGAAAGAAGCAAAGGTCATGTATGCTACAGACATGTTGTTTGAAATGTCAACATTTTCAACATATTCCCACTTCTAATAAGATAAAATTATATAAATGTACTGTTGCAATAAATGTAATGTTGCTATTTTTTATGTCTGCTCAAAGTTATAGCATTTATCACCCTGGTAACTAAGATCGTAACTGTTTGTTGCAGGCACTGTGACTCTGAATGGCCAACGGGAGACTCTGCCTGTTGTGACCGGGGATCTGGTGTTGCGTAAGGCGTCCTCTTCATTCATCATTATCCAGACATTTGGAGCTCAACTTCTCTGGTATTTAGATGGATCATTTGCTCTCATCAACCTGCAACCTGGCTTTGCTAACAAGGTGACTCTGAGTCTAAATGTGGTTCATTCACTTCTAAGAAAATCAAACCCCAGTATGCCTATTGGCTCACTAAACTGCTAAAAACCCATCATGCTGTGGGCAGGAAACTATTTAGTCAGCTAGAGTATGAGTGCACAGGTTCTACTTAGAAAGATGAGAGAGGTCTGTAATTTTCATCATTGGTACACTTTCATTATTAGAGACAAAATTAGAAGAAAAAGTCACATTGAACGATTTTTTAAGAACTTATTTGTAAATTATGGGGCTTGTAATCCCCAAACATGCCAGACTTCTATATATATATTTATATATATACATATATATATATACCTTTTTTTTTTACCTGGGTCTTTACCCCAAAATAAACATTATGCAATGTTTTGTGATTTGGAAAGAAATAAAATCTTGATAGTTAAACAAAGGGATTTTTTTAATGCTTGGCAGAGGATGATCAGCCACATATAGCTTATTAAGTAGCGAGAGCAGATGGGCAGCATGACCAAACAGGACGCAGGAGCACACCTGATACTGCTTAACTGATTACAGCAAAATGATGCATTTTAAACCTCTAACCAACCTTCCTCTACCTTTTATTTAGTCTCGTCTCCTTGATGAAAACTCAAACTTATGACTAGTCATGTTTTAGTCCTCAAAGATCCATGTTTAATTAGTCAGTTATCGTTATTGTCATGAAAGAAAGGAGCGTCAACAAAATCATTTCGTCATCATCATCGTTGACGAAACCAACCCTGGTTACAAAGACAAACAATTGATGTTAGTTTACCAGGGAGTTGTCTAGTTTTTCAGACGTGGACGTTCTGTGATGGGTTTAAAGTTCTTCATCTGGTCCAATTTGTCACTAGCATTGTGAATATTTGTGCTGTTTGAACATGAGCCCTGTTGCATTCCTAGCTGACAGCCAGTGCCTTTGCATGTATAACAATAAAAATACTATTAATTGCATATATTTTGTTAAAATCTATATAAATATTTCATCAAAATAAATGCATTTAAGTGTAGACCCTAGTTAAAGCTTTTGTTAATGACGAAAACACGTTTTCCACAATCCAGCAATATGATTTCCACATTTATCTAATTTTGTCTCTCATACTTGAAATGTACCTTTGATAAAAAACTTAAAGACCTCTTATCTTGCACTATCATTGCTGAATAAATACTTTCCCGCCATTTTGAAGATTTAGGACTAATTGTTTCAGTAATGAAACCCCTTCTTGTTTTAATGCTTTACCGATGGTCGCTGGATACATGTGATACATTTAAGGTCCGTGGTTTGTGTGGAACGTTTACTTGGAGCCAACACGATGACTTTACCACCCCGGACGGAGATGTAGAGAACAACATCTTATCCTTTGCTGAGAAGTTCACAAGTGAGCCTTGCACGCTGCCAGGTGGCGCTCCGCCTGATCCCTGCTCCACGTACACCCAGAGGAGAGTCTATGCTGAAACAGTGTGTGGTATCATACATAGTCCCGTCTTCCAGGTCAGTGTTTTTAAAGAGAGCTATGACTCCTTACATCTCTGTGCTCCATCACGCATACGTCACACATTCACCTTGCAGGAGTGCCATGATGTGGTGGACAGGGAGCCATATTTCCGTCTCTGTCTATCAGAGATGTGTGGCTGTGTTCCAGAGAGGGCCTGTCACTGCACCGTTCTCACTGCCTTCGCTCGACACTGTGCTCAGGAGGGGGTGACAGTCCGCTGGCGCAACCAAACATTCTGCTGTAAGACCCCTCCTCCCATGAATGTTCACTTCTTTATTCGTTCATTTAACAGTTAGAACAGAAATACACACAACTGGGACCTTTAGCTTATTTATTTAGTTGTCCAACTTTAACACACAGAAGTATTAAAACTAGTTTCTCCCCCCACTTTTTCCCCTCCTGCCCAGCGGTCCACTGCACGGGGGGTCAGGTGTACCAGGAATGTGGTCGTGCCTGCGGGGGTTCCTGCTCAGACCTGAGTCAGGGCTGGAACTGCGATGATTTCAGTGCCGAAACGGGTCACGGCATGTGTGTTCCAGGCTGTCAGTGCCCAGCAGGACTGGTGCAGGACCAGCAAGGCCAGTGTGTCCCCATCTCATTGTGCCCTTGTATGGAAGGAGACAAGCTGTACCCGGCAGGTGCTGTGGTTCAGAACAACTGTAACACCTGGTATGTGGAAAAATCAAGTCTAATGATCATAAGACTGCATATTAACCTGCTGACAACATTTTAGGATGATCAAATATGTCCTCATTTTAGTAAAATTAAATATATATATCAAAACATAAAGTTAAAACTAAGCTTGTTTCCTTATTTGATCAGAGGATGATGAGCTTTGGTTGGGTACCCAACTCTCAAACTTAATAAAGGACAAAAATACAATTTCAAACTTTTAAAAAAAGTTTACAAAAAAGAAAACAAAAACACTGGAATTTGTTTCCAAAAAATTGAAGCTATTTCGTTTCCCAGCCAGGAAGCTTTTTCAATTCAAAATGTCAGAAAAGGCGTTGAGTTTGAGGCTTTATAGAGTGGACCAAAAACAAAGCCTTGTTTTGCTTTAGAAAACATGCAAATTGAATCTGACAAATGGACAAACTGCTTTTAGTCCACCCTGTAAAGCTTCAAACTCAATGCTAATTCTGACATTTTTCATTGAAAAATCTTCCAGGATGGGCGTTCTTATGTGGCGCTGTAGTTGGCGTACACGACTCATGTACAGAGACCTTAGTCCTTGATGCAGGTGACCCGGGTTCGAATTAAACCTGTGGTCCTTTACTGCATGTCTCTCCCCCTCCCTCATACCCCCTTTCCTTTCAGCTTACTGTCCAAAAAATAAAAAAATTAGCCACTAGTGCCATAAAATCTTAAAAAAAAAGCTTTCTGTATGTGAAGCGAAACTTCTTCAAACTTGGAAATAAAGTCTAGTTGATTGTTTTATGACTTAGACAGACTTTATTGTCAAAAATAAAATTTGTTTATTACAGCTTTCAAGACATTTTCATTTTTAAAGTGCATCAGTGATAAAATGTAAACATACGACTGTATATGATTTGTAGTTTCCAACATTCAGGGTTTTTTTTTGTTTTGTTTTTAAAGCTGGATGACTGAGAATCTTCAACAGAACATTTTAAAGATGCATTTAGAAATGTAGTTCTGTTGAAGCTCTCCATTGTAAAACCCAAACCATATGAAGATGTTGACATTAGCATGTTTCACACAGAGTGCAAATAAATAATTAATATGTTGTCAAACTCCTTGAGATGAGCTGTTCCTATAAAAAGGATTGAAGACAACAATATAGTTCCAATCTGGAGATAGAAATGCTTTGCCCATTGATAGGAAGCCTCCAGGTTTCTCTTGCGGCCTCCTTCCACATAAGACTGACCATGGCGTTTGCTGAGGCACCTCTGCTTTTGCGTGATTCGAGTTGATCGCGTCTCTATAAAATGTAAGGGTGTAAAACTACAGTAGCAGCCATTAAAAATGGCCCTTCCCAGTCAAACACCAGCCGAATGGTAGCCCACTTCCCTCCAACTCCCAGCAAAATCCCCTCCAACTTCCAGCCACTGGAATGACCCCCCTCCTTCTCTTGGGCATGCATATTTTTTTTTACTCTGACTCATTAATCCATCTTAATGTCCAAATCATGACAGAATATTTTAGTACAAAGATTGATGTTTAAATAGGAATTGAAGGAGATCCAGCCAAGGGCCCATCAAGGAAAATTCTGAATGGCTGCTACTGTAGTATGTAGGTTAGAGCGGGGCTCGTTTGAGTTTAGTGGAGAGAAGCTGTTCCATCCAAGAGGGAAAAAATATTCCTGGAAATATTCCTGTAATGCTACAGTAATGATCATGGTTGGTTTCTGTTTAAAAGATCAAATTGTGTCATCTATGTCACTCAAAGTTGTCTTCTAGGATTGTTTTGACTCAGGAAATAAACAGACAGCTTTACACAAAAAAGCCGAATTAAAATGTTACATCACCTTGTTGAA